ATACACACACCAGTCTACACATGCACACAAAACCCACACATAACAGAAACTGACCAGCCAGACCCTAGCAGTGGGCAGGCACATACATATATACACTATACATGGTTGCACAAGCTGGCTAAAATAGTAACAGCTCCCACTCATTGAGAAATTTATATTCACTATCTAATTATCCTCCCAACAATTGCACTTGATAGTCCCATGCCACAGACAGAAAACCCAGGCTTGGAGAAATAAGTAACACACCGAAAATCGCACAAATACAGAGTGAGGTCTCAAATGGCCTGATCCCAAAGTCTGTGTTCTCTCAATTGCACCATGATGTCTCATAAAGTGGATATGTCACCATGATGATTCTATGCAGTGTTAGTAGAGATAATGATCATAGGGTTGAAATGATGATGATGATGATAGCTAACTTTTAAAGATACTGGGTTCCAAGCCAGATGTTGTTCAAAGACATTCTTATGAACTAACTCATTTTTTCAGTAATGCCATGAATTTGCACCATTTTAAAGATGAGAAAGCAGCCAACTGAGAAGGGAGGTGAATTTCCCAAGGCCCCATGGCCAGTAGGTGGAAGAGCCTCGAATGTGAACTCAGTCACGTGGTCTCGTGTGGATCTGGGTCAGGAGGAAGCTGTAGTCAGCCCAGCCAAGCTCTGGATCGAGCCCTGAGGGTGACCCCTTCCATCCTTCCAGGTGGGCTCTCTTAGGAGGAGTGGTCCTCAAGGCCTCTGTCCTTGGCCTCTGCTCACCTTTGCTGAATGTGCACTTCCATTTGGCCTGTTCAAAAGCCTCGCTGCGGGTCTTCCGAGAAGGGAGAAGCAAAGGCAGCTGGCAACACTGGCCCCAGCAGCTCAATGTCCCTGGGGAAAGGAGGAGAGTCGGCCCTGCTTGCTCAACACCCAAGAGCTTCGTCTATCCAAAGCCCAAAGGACAAGGCCATTTTCCAGGTGGCTGAGCTCCAGGTCTCAGGAAAGCAAGGCAGCTGTCCCCACACCTCACAGAACTGCTGGATCCTCCTCCCACCCAGTCTTTGCACCAGGCCTCCCAGGCTCTTTGTCTTCACACGGCCCCCCCCTTCCCTCCGGGAACAGCCCCTCTCCTAGCCCCTCTCTTTCAGCAGATCAGTCCATTTTGTATGAGCAGAAGAGTGAGGAAGAGATCAAGCTACAGACTGAATGCACAGCCCCGATAAGAGAAGCAAGAAGAACCATCTGTGGCACAAGGGGCCGAGGAGGGGATAATAGCCCAGACCCTCTGCTCTGTTCGGCCACACAATGGGCTGCATTCAGCAGGCGCCCTTCTGGTCTCTAATCTAGCGGGAAGGGCATATGTGCAGTCTATTAGCATTTATTTTCCCTTTCTGCATTGTACTGATAACCCAGTTTCTGACCCAACCTCTTGCTTTTCTTTTCACTCCACATTATAATTCTGCTTTCTTAAAATCCTATTCAGCTATAAAAAAAAAGAAAGAAAGAAAGAAAAAAAAAACCTCAAACTCTTACCTTTTCAAAGCACATCAGTAATTTTTTTTTTCCCAACTGAACCAAGGTGACTTCTACAAAGACTTCACCATTCTGGATCCTAATGATGGTTCAAGAGCTGAGGGACAGGTAGCATTCCTGGGGCTGTATTTATAAATTCACTAATAGAAATCAACACAAAGAATGAGCCTCAGCAGTGAAACAAACAGCTGTCACAGAAACCAGGTACCCAGGATGGGCAAATGTTCCCCATCAGCTCTGTTTTCCAAAAAGCCTGAAATTGAACACAACGCAGACTGACTGAGGCTGGGCCACCCTATGATCACCCAGTGGTCAGCACCATCATTCGCCCCACCATTTGTTTTTAACAGAACTTGCCCAAAGGAAAATAGGGAGTTTAATCAATAATTAATGATTCTGAAAGCAGACATTTCACGAAATCCTCTTAAGCTCCTCTTCTGAGAAAACTAGTAAATTGCTTGTAATCATAGAAAGTGGCATCCTCTGCAGCCAATGTCCTTTGTTCATTACAGGAGTCTCCCAGACAGGCGTTAAACACATTGATCATTGGAACATTCTAGAACAACAACTGGATGAACAAGAACATAACTGAGAGTGACCACTGAGTGAAATGTGGAGGTTACCATCGGAACCTGAACTTTATGCTATGCCTGTGCTGGTTTTGTGTTGTCTATTTGTATTCCTTCTATGACTTAACAATCACCTACCAACATAACAAAATGAATAGGCATTTCCAGCCCAAGGGAAATCTCCTGGACCCTACAGCTATGCAGTAAGGCTGTGTAAACATTAAGAGAAATTCTGATTCACAGCTTCATCTTCAGGAGTAATTTCTTATACAGTATGACCTCCCACCACCCTTGAGAAATGTAAAAATCTCCAGGAAATTGGCCACATAGCTTTATAAGGAAGAACAAGAACACAGGAAGATTACACCTCACTTCTGATCTGGGTAGGCTTTTGCTTTTCCTGGAAGGGTTCCAACTTCTCAAGACCACCGCTAAGGGGGTAAAGGACTGATTTCAAAGACCAATATACCTGGTGCTAATTCTGTGTTGGTCCAGGGAATTGGAGGAGAAAATGTTCTGGCTATACGTGCCCAAGAAAGGCATGGGACTTGGGCCATGATTTCTTTTTGTCTATATAGTCCTCAGCAGATGACCTAAAAAAGCAGGACTTGAATGTGGAGTCATTTCTCTAAGAGTGGAGGCTGTGGTTAGTTAACATTAGCCATTCACTCTTTGTTCAACAATTCCCAATAATTCTCTGGGAATGTCTGGAACACAAAAGATACTGGGTTGTGGATAGGACATGGCTAGGCCCAAATAGGAACCAAGCACTAGCTCTCAAATCTCCATGTGCCCATTTAGAGCTGGAGATCGAGCCAAGGCTGGTGGTAAATGAAGCACCTGCCTGCTCCTAAGGATGGTCTGCAGAAATCCATACTGGCCAGGATCTGTATCTCAGAGGCCCATTGGAGCCAGGCAGATAATGTAAATAAGTGAAATGGGCTGAGACAGGCCCTTCTCTGGCCAACTGGAGAGCAGGGCCCAGCTGGAAGGCAGCATGTTAGTATGTTCCTAGATAGGGATGCAAGTCCCCTGTCGCCAGACAATTCAGACTTTCAGGAGATACAGAAAATCTATTTTGTTTTATGTTGTCAAGTAATTCAAAATTTTTAAAATACTGTACAGGCCAGATAAGGACTATGGGTTATCGGTAGGCAAACTTGGTCCAAAGAATGTTAAATTCATGATCTTTATCATTACCAGACATCTCTCCAGTATCTGTTTGAACCAAGAACTTATTTCTCCAGTGAAATTAAGTAAATAATTCTGCCTCTCAGAAGCATGGTGTCACCTGTGTAGAAGATATTTAATTCCCAGCTGCAGTTTCAGATGTTTTCTTTCAAAGTTCTTTCAGCTAGTCAAAGTGCTCTAAGCAGTAGGGATACAAAACTGATAGACAAGGCCCTTGCTCTCACGGAACTCACATTCTAGTGGGATGGGCAGAGAGAGGCATAAAACACTTATTCATACATACATACATGCTGCTGGAGTTTGGATCTAGAAAAATCTCTCAAGGTCCACATGGTAAAGGCTGATTCCCCTGAGTGTTGCTACTGAAGTTTCACGGAACCATTAAGAGGTGGGGCCTAGTGAAGGTCTTTGGGTCACTGGAGTTGTACTCTTGAAGGAGACATTGGGATACCACCCTCTTTTTCTTTCTCTCTTTTGCATCCCGACCATGAGACAAGCAGTTTCACTTTATCCCACAATTCCACCACGACATGCTGCCTCACCCTAGGCACAAAGCAACAGGGCCAACTGATCATAGCTTCCAAACCTATGAACAAAAATCAACTTTTTCGGGCTGAGACTGTGGCTCAGCAGTAGAATGCTTAGCACGTGTGAGGCACTGGGTTCTATCCTCAGCACCACATACAAAATAAATAAAGGTATAAAATAAACATTATTATAAAAAAACATTTCTCTTTGTAAGATGATTATCTCAGGGATTTGTTATAGTGACAGAAAACTAACACATACATACTTAGATTATATTATACATGCACAGATATGTACGTGCATCACACACCCATGGATTCACATCAGAGGTGGATTGATGTATGTGATATGGATAAAGCCAATAGTAGTGGGAAATTGAATATGGAAAATAAAAGAAAAAACATTAAAAAATGGTGCTGAGACTGGTAGCTTTAAGTAAGGTGAAAAAAGGAAAGTAGAGGTGTGAGAAGGTTTGGGGAAGAATCAACAGTATTATATTCATTGTGTATTAGACATGCAAGTGACAACAAGAAGAACTCCTTAAGACCATATCTATTGAAAAGAAACATCAACTGATGGACATTATTAGGACTTTTTTCAGGTTTTGCCTATTACCAAGAAAGAATCTCTGAATAAAAACAAATAAAATAGAAATATACTTGATTGTTTCCTCAAGACTTCCTAAATATTCAGGAAAAGTAAAAATCTACAACTTCTTGTAATAACATTGATAATCACTTGATCCAGCAGAAAAATCAACACAGGAATCAGAGTTCATGCTCTATATCAGAATGTTGTATTAATAATTCCAGAACAATTATGATTTTATGGAAAAGTTGTGGGAAATCTGATTCATTTTTAACTTTTATAGTTCTGTTTAGACATCTTACTAAAAGCAAATGAACTAAAGAAAAGAATATTTCTGTCCCTTCACTAGAAATAGGCCCTGCGGTCAGCTTTTCCTGCTTCATTATCATAGGCACCAAGGGTAGCTTTGACATTAAGAGCCAAAGAACAGGGGAGCACAATGTGGTGGCCTCTTCAGCCTGCTTGGGTCCCAGCACACATCCTCCTGAGTGCATGGTCATATCTGTGAGTGTGAAGATCTACATCCTGAACTTTATTGATTAAAATTACTGTAAACTGGGCTGGGGTTGTGGTTCAGTGGTAGAGTGCTCGCCTTGCATGTGCAAGGCCCTGGGTTTGATCCTCAGCACCACTTAAAATAAATAAATAAAAATAAATAATGCTACTTTAAAAAACATTACTATAAACTGTACATTATAGTTTAAAGCTGAAATATCCCTAAAGGCTCTTTGTTGAAGGCTTGGTCTCCACCTGGTGATGTTACTGGGAGGTGGCAGATCACTGGGGATGTGCTTTTGAAGGGCACCCTTTCTCTCTGTCTCTCTCAGCTTCTTGGCTTCTACAAGGTGAGCAGCTTTGTTCTGCCACACACACTGCAGCCATGATGTTCTGCTTATTTCAGGTCCAGAGCAATGGAGCCAGCTGACCATGAACTGAAATCTCGAAACCTGTGAGCCAAAATGAATCTTTCCTTCTTTAAGTTAATTTCTTAGGTATTTTGTCACAGCAAAAGAAATCTCCCCAAGACACTATACCATAAGAGCAGACACATAAGCTTTAGCATTGTGACCATACCCACCTAATAAAACTCGGAGGTTCACAGTAACTGCAGTACTCTGCAGTAGCTGTGACTTTTGACAGGGTGCACATTGCCACCACCTTCTTATTTACTGAGCCCTTTTGCCCCACTCCCAAGGAAGTTTGTCAAGGCATAGTGCTTTTTTAACACTCCTTGCAAAGAACAATATGTGATGTCGAGGTACTAGGAAGAGAAATAAATAGGCCCCTAAACTCAAAAATAAGCAGATTGAGTCTTAAAAAAAAAAAATGAGTAGAAGGTGTTCTTATGTCAATGGGGTAAATAATGTTGGGGATCATCCACTCCAGTTGTCACTGACCACAGAAGTAATAATAAAAAGATGGCCTCAAGAGTGCCCTTATACTTTGTGAAACTGTGCTCCTCCTCTCTCCAGAGACTGCCTCACCTTAGCAGAAAGGCATCAGCAGAATTCCTTGGCCTCTACTGTGCTGCAGAACTGGTTCAAAGCACTGCTCCCAGTCAGGGAGAAATTCTTGCTATATTAAATGCCCCATAGCCAAAAAAATCAACCCATTCAAATTAATATGCCTCTCAATATTGCTTTCCAAATGGTAGGAGCAATGATCTGGAAAAGTGAAAACCTTTATTTAAGAAGGTTGATATCTGCCTCTATATAGATGGATTTTCAGATGTCAGAAGAAGAAAACGACCATTGGTTTGAGTTAAGTAATCTTTCACTTTTCAGACACGAAACTCGCTATTGCCCCAGTGAAGTCTTCTAGAGAGCAGATGGATGAAATATGAATGTCTGTTTAGGATGCAGAGTCACAAGGGAGCATCACTCCCATCCTGACATTATAAGACAGATAAGCTATAAAATTATAGTTTTTAAGTCCATCAGAGAACTGAGGATGTCAATAAGCCTAAATGAATTAAATTCCAGAAAGCGATAAGCCCTTTCCTAGAAAGCAGAGATCCACAGCTACTCTCATTCTTTGTGGAGTGGCAGGAGGAAGAATTCAGCACAGACAAGTAAGAAGAAACCAACCAAGCATTTTAGAGCCCTGTGTGAGCTGATGACACAGAGGTCCATGATGTGCCTTCCACTGAACAACTCAGCACACATGGCCCAAATCTGTCCCACTGACCTATACCAAGTAGACAGAAGTAGTGTCTTAAATGTTGGGGCCAGGAAGAGAAAGAGATCCCTTTCAAGGCTTGTGGGGCCTTCCCAAAGAACAAGACAGTGTGACCTACTGCAAGTCGGGAAGAGTAAGTAAAGAGAGCTGATAAAAATCTCCCTGAGACACCATAGATTTCATCTGGTGCCCAACATGGACTAAAAGCTGGAACCAACAGGAAGCAGAGCTGGAGGAAATCCCTTCAAGGCTCTGAGGGTCTTCACATGTACACGGCAGCAGCTCTCCAAGGCTGGGAGTGGAGTACCTTGACAGAAAGAGAATCCTCAAGGAATAGAAAGGTAGAAACAGGACCAGAAAGATTAGAGAATTCTTTACAGTGACCCCAGAAGTTGGAAGGGGGCTATCAATAGGGCAATCTCCCACTGTTTAAAAAAAACTGTATAACATTTGAAGAGTGCTCCAGAATGTCAGCTCCTCTCAGCTCTCTGGCACTGCTACAGGGAGAACCTTAATCACATCCCCAAAACATTTAAAACTGAACATGAAGGCAATCTACCCAAAGTTGCAACAGTTCAGGCCCATATCAACTATATATTAGATTAACTCATCCTTCTACATGACAAACATGATGGTAAAAGGGGCTTGCCCTTTTCTGGGGACAAAATTTCTTGCACTTCATATGTATATGGGCTAGACAAATATATATATATATATAAAATTAGGAGACACCTAAAGAAGCAAGAAAATGTGATCAGAGTCAAAGAACAGAGCAATGGAATCAGATCCAGAGAAAGTCCAGAGATTAGATTTATCATAGATTGAATTTGAAAAAAAAATTAGACTATAATAAATATGCCAAGGGATCTGTAAGAAATTGTGGATAATAAGTGAAAGAATAAATAATTGATTAGGGAGACAGAAGCTATAAAAAAGAATACAGTGGAAATAAGAAATATAATCTCCTAAATGAATGACTAATTTGATAGGGTTACAAAGTGGATATAGTGAAAAAGAAGATTAGTGAACTTGAAAACAAGACAATAGAAATTATCAAAACTAAAATGTTTAGAGAAAAGATTGAAGATAGCAAATGATGAGAGCATCTGAGATCTCTGGAACAACACTGAATGAATGATGATGAAATTACAGTCCCAGAATAAGTTAAAAGATGGAATGGAGCAAAAGCAATATTCTAAAAGACATTGGCCAAGAATTTTATGACAATTTTAAAGAGATCAACTCAAAATTCCAAAAAGCTCAGCAACCACTTGCAGGT